ATAGTAAATCGGGTTCGGGTTCTGGCGTGCAAAGCCAAGAAAGGGAGCAAAGCCTTCCCTTCAGACATGTTCCAGTGCAGACCCTCGGGTGGAGGGTTTGCCAGGGCTGGAGGAGAGGAGTGATTGTCTGGGGCTGCTGGCCCCAGCCCTGTCGCCAGCTTGGCCTCCCCCGGCTGCTTCCATGTGGAGACCAGAGTTAGGGAAGGCTTTGGACGTGTCTGACGAACTCAGCGGACGGGTCAACAGTCTGTGGCCTCGGGGAGGTGAGGGAAGTGAGGACTGGGAGGAAAACGGGGTGAAAAGAAATCCAAGAAGCAGAACAACTCTTCAAACCGATGAGCACCAAGACAGGGCGGGAAGCAGGTTGTGCCATCTCTGTCCCATAATCCATCTTCAATATGAAGATGTGTTGCTGCCTCACCGCTCCTGGACACGGGACGAAAAGCTGGGCTCTCTCTCAGCATGAGCGCCTTCGATCCAGGGAAGGGCGTCCCATCCCATCCCATCCCAGGCGACCGTCCGAGGCAGAGGAGCGCCATGTGGAGGGGAAAACGGGAAGCAGGGCTGCACCGCAAACTGAACCTGGTTGGCAGGTTCCCTTGGTCCGTTCCAATGCAGAGTCCCCTGTGGTCAAACCTGCACCGGGAGCGTCTGGTTCATCTGCAGCCTCATGTCCTGAATGCTGCTCAGGATCTTCTTCTGGTGCCCTGCTAGCGTCACTCCTATCCTCAGCAGGTCCCTGCAAGGAGGAGGTGAAGACTCAGCCCTCTGCCACCGGCAACAGCAGCACATCACCCTGCCCCATCCCACTGCAAGGCAAAGCACCTTCATTACAGCCCACTGCCAAGCTCCAGTGCTCCCTCTAAATACCACAGGGGACTGGATGCTGAATCCCAGACCTGAACTCCCTTTGGACTGGACACTGAATCCCAGACCTTAACTCAGCCCACCACATGCCCAGGTGGGAGGAACCAGCTGCCAGAGAGGCAAGAGACAAGGGACAGTGTGCAGCCACCCATGCTCAGACTTCTCCCTCCTCTGCAAACAGGCACTTACTCTGCAGTCATCTGCGCCACCAGGTCAAAGGAGGCAAACCCGGCATTGACAAAGTTCTCCTTGTACCGTCCCATTTTGATGGCATCCAGCCAGTCTCCCACAGTGGTGAAGGTGGTGTAATCTGGGACGGTGCGGTCCAGGAGTGGCTGGGAGATGCTAAGGGGCAAGAGAAACACAGGTCACAGGGGACAGAGGTGTAACTGGCAGCAGAGGAGATTTCTTATCCCTGCCCTCCCACAGCTCTATTCCCAACCACTCCAGCGTTCCCTGGGCTTGGGGGAAGCCCTAGCTGGAAACAGAGATGTCCACTGACCCAGACTGGACGCTGGCAATGACTTTCAGGCTGGCAGCATTGCGGATGAGCTTGTCAAGTGTGTTGACAATCTGTGCAAACTTGGGCCGCAGGTTGCGGTCCCGCACCCAGCAGTCCAACATCAGCTGGTGCAGCGCAGTGGGGCAGTCCATGGGGGGTGGCAGGCGGTAATCCTGCTCCACTGCATTAATCACCTGCAGAGACACATGCAGAGGCAGGTTGTGAGATACCTTGGCTCCCACAGGCAGCCTACTGCTCCCAGCTCCCCACACCCCAGGGAGCACTTACGTCCTGGTTGGACATGTCCCAGTAAGGTCGCTCCCCATAGGACATCACTTCCCACATGACGATACCATAGCTCCACACGTCGCTGGCTGAAGTGAATTTGCGGTAGGCGATGGCCTCAGGAGCTGTCCATCTGATAGGAATCTTACCCCCCTGCATGGATACACAGATCCATGATTTAGCACATACCTGAGGTATCTCCCCCGACCCCCAGATCAGTAGATCCCTCATGAATGTCCCATACCAGGGAGCTGGTGTAGGTGGGGTCAGCTGGGTCATCCTCCAAAAAGCGAGAGAGCCCGAAGTCAGACACTTTGCAGACCAAGTTGCTGTTGACCAGGATGTTGCGGGCAGCCAGATCCCGGTGCACATAGTTCATCTCCGAAAGGTACTTCATGCCAGAAGCGATGCCTCGCAGCATTCCCACCAGCTGGATGACTGTGAACTGCCCGTCATTCAGCTGCCAGAGGAGAGATCAGAGGGGTTTACAACACCCTGAACGGATTGAGGAAGGATCCCAATGTGCTACCATCACCTTCCTGCTTGCTAGAGCCACCCCTCTTCCCCCACTCCATGATGTCTATGCAGAGCTTAGCCCCAGGGATGTCAGCACAATGCAGAGGGATGGAGAAGGGATCAGAGCTGCTGTCCCCCATGCACTGTGGCCCCCAGCCCAGGGCAGGAGGAGATGGATACTCACCCGGAGGAAGGAGTCAAGTGCACAGTTCTCCATGAATTCCGTGATGATCATGACAGGTCGGCTCTTGGTCACCACACCCTCCAGGTGGATGATGTTGGGGTGGTCGAACTGGCCCATGATGCTGGCCTCGCTCAGGAAGTCTCGTCGCTGCCGCTCCGTGTAGCCCACCTTCAGCGTCTTGATGGCCACGAAGATCTCACGGCGTCCAGGCAGCTTCAGGCGTCCACGGCACACCTCACCGAACTCACCTGTGGTGGGGAAAGAGAGAGGGGGGCAGCATGATTAGCCACAGGACAGGATGAGAAGCAGGAATTTCAGCCGTTGCTGTGCCCAGCCCCAGGACTTGCCTGCTCCAATGACCTCCTCAATTTTCACACAGGAGATGTCAATCTCTTTGGCAAATTCCCGGACAGCTTCGTTGGGATCCTCATAGGTGAAGGGGTCAATGTATACCTTCGTCCCAGGGGTAACTGCAAGGGCAGGAGTCATCACCAGGAAGGACACAGCATGGGTGACAGATGCCAAGCCACTTGGCAGGCTGCCAGCCCACACCTCCCTGGTTAGCCAGGGCTGTTTCTTCACCTGTGTGCAGGGCAGGAATTGGGAGAGGGCAGGCAGAACCCATTTGCTGGGCTCTCACACTCACCGTATTGCTGCAGCTTCTCTGTGTACTCAGGGTCGGTGCTGTTGCGTTGCTTCCTGCCCAAAGGAGACGAGAGGAGGTGTTCAGTAACCATCCCTTTCCTGATGGGGCAAAGACATTCACTGCAAGCTTCCAAATCCCAGCACAACCTTCCCTCCAGCAGCCTGTGTGCAGAGCCATCCCTCTACCCGAGGTGCAACAGGAGGAGATGGCCTAGTTGTGCTGAGAGGATGCAGAAGCCTGGGCAGAGCCCAGCTCGTGCTAGGGAACCAGAGAAGCACAGTCCTCCCACAGGACTCCCACTCTGGGACCTACATGAAGCAGGTCCAGTCCTTTGCTCTCAGACTCAAGCTGCCAGAGCTCTGCCCACAGGCAAGGGGGAAAGCTCTGTGACAGACATGAGCAACCCCCAAACCCAGCTCTGAACCCCCCTTCCCTGCAGAGCCAGTACCTGAAGCAGACGATAGCGATCACCACCACAACGATGACGAACACCAGCCCTGCGGTGGCTGAACCCACAATCAGAGGCAGCTCCTGGAAAGTCTTGCTGGTGGAACCTGATGGAGGGAGAGGCAGGAATCAAAGTCAAGCTGGGGAAGGAGCACACACAGGAGGGCTGGGGGATGGAGGCAGTCCAGTCCTAGTACCTACCACCCTCTGCAGTTGTCTGAAACTCCGTGGGGAGGCTGTAGCGGCCGGATCCAGCCACGGGGCGTGCTCGGACCTGCACCATGTACCTAGCGTTGGCCTTCAGCCCGTCCAGCCGCACCGAGTTCTTCTGGCTGGTGACTGTGTTTGCGATGCCATCACTCTGGCCTTGCTGTAGTGGAGACATGCAGGTGTCACCTCTGTGAATCCATCCCGTCTGCTGGCTCCCACATCCCTCAGGCACCACCACTGCAGGGACCCCCTTTGCCATGGTGCTGACAAGCCAACTACAAAGGCTGGAGGAGGGAAAAGGCTGCTCACACTTTACCTTCTCTGAGTACTTGATCTCATAGTCAAGAATGATGCCGTTGGGTCTCTCTGGGGGAGTCCATGACAGCGTCATGCTGTTCCCGGTGCTGCTGTGCAGGTGCATTGTTGGCACGGCAGATGGGGCTAGGAAAGAGGGAAGGGGAAGAATGAGCCACCTGTGCCAGGCTCCCCTCTTCACCATCCCACATCAGTGCAGGGACCTGCTTGGATAATCTTGGTGGAAAGGTGTGGAAAAGCTTTGACACTGGCCTCCCCTAAGCGTCTGTAAGGAGGCGTGATCTCGACACCAAGGGGAGCCTCAGAAATAGCACTGAGGTAATGCTGCACCCCATGCCTAGCTATAAACTGGTCTGGGGAAGGGCCCTGCCAGCCCAAACTGGGGCTCCCTCCCCTCCTCCACTTGCCAGGAGCTCTGCACTCCACCCCACCACGACGACCCGTGAAATCAGATCAGAGCGTGGTGGCTGGAGATTACCAGCACGCTGGAGAGGGGCCAAAGTGGGAGGAAGGAGGGAATGGCAGAGCACTTGGCTGGCTGTGAAGGTTTGGGCTGGTGCTGAGCCTTCCCAGGACCACAGGGGAGAAATCTCATTTCCTTCCTCCTCCCTTTGCAGCAGGCACAGCATCTCTGGGGTAGGTCTAGGAGATCCAGAGCTCTACGAAGCATCTGCCAACCCTACCCTTCTCTGCTTGCATGTGTTCTGATCTCATCTCCTCTGGGGACATGCATTAAACTGAGAGGACAGTTTACCCAGGGGATTAGATGCAGGCGTGGAGAACTAGTTACGCGGCACCACAAAGGACTGCAGCCTCCCAGGCTGTCAGCAAGAAATCTCTGCTCCGCTCCGTTCTGCGGCGGAGATCTGGTCTCTGCTCCCTGGCAGCTCCACTGACCTGCCTGGTTGGTGGTGATGTTGACAGAGGCGAAATGGGGAGGGTAGGGACTCTTGTTGGAGATGCCGTTGACGGCCTGGATCTCAAAGGTGTACTGGGTGTGGGCCATCAGGTTGCTGATGTAGATGCGTCGCTCCGTGAGGCCGAGCTGGCGTGGCACAAACTCCACGTTGTCGTCGCAGCGGGTGCACAGACGCCGCTCCACACTGCACTTCTTGCAGATGACATTGTAGAGCAGGTCGTCCCGCCCACCCGTGTCCTGTGGCTCGCTCCACTCCAGCACCAGCGACGTCTCGTTCACGTTGGAGATGACATTGCGGGGGGAAGAGGGGACGCCTGTTGGGGGAAGGTGGGGGTCAGGAATGGTGTGTCCCCATGCACCACTCACCCCTGACATGGCCACAACATACTCCCTCACCCCAGATGCAGACCCCTGCCACCTCTGCAGCTCCCCCCTCGCCTCCCCTCCTTGCCCAGGACAGGACTCACTGGTGCAGGCGCTGTCTGCAGGGTCTGTGTCTGCCCGAAAAAAGCCGTTCCGACAAGTGCAGACCATTGCTGCTCTAGAGGTGGTCCGACTGTTGGGAGGGCAGGGAGAGCAGGGACCTTCCCCCTGCTTAGACTTGAAGGTTCCCGGGCCACACTCTGAAGGAAGGAAAGATAGACCTGAGTTATAAAGCGCACCCAGAAAATATCCACTATTCCCCCCAGTGACCCAGACACTTCCTTGCTGCCCTGCCAAACCTTCAATCAGTGGCTTGAGGACCACAGGCCACCTATGAGCATTTCCACTGCCATCAGCCGTACGCAGGATGTGGTGCCCCTGGCTGGGCAGGGTGGGTGAGAGTGGGCTGCTGGAGAGCAGGAGCACAGCCAGCACAGACACAGCTCTGCCCAGGAGATGCTGTGCTCCAGCAGCAGGCCTGGGGCAGTCAGAGATGGCAAGAGCTGGTCACCAGTAGTATGGGGGTCAGGGCATGTCTGTCCAGGAGAGCACAACCTCAGTTTTGTTTCTTCGCTGCCCTGCCCAAGCACTTTGCCATGCTCCCTTCCCCAGCTGGTTTCCAGGCGCAGCACCCTCCATAGTGGGAAGTAAGGCTGGGGAGGAAAGGATTCCTCAGCCCTGTCTACAACAGCTCCTATGAGAGGCCTCCACCTCCCAAAATCAGCCACTCAGCCCCAAACCTTCCGCCTCAGGCTCTTCAGCCACTTCTCAGCCCCGGGGTGGTGGCACCTCCTGAGCTCAGCTCAAGTGGAGCACTGAGTGAGATGAAAACATTCCTGCAGGTCCTTGGCTAAAGAGCTGCTTCAGCATCACTGCCACCTCCCTCCTCTACTTCCGATCAGGGTCCTTCAAGGAGCCACAAGTCCTGGGATATGGCCTGACTGGCACCACAGGGTGTTTATTTGTAATGAAGGGCACATAAAAGGATTAACAGTACTTGAGGCGAGGAGCAGAGCAGCCTTGGAAACCTGACCCACACCTTGAAACAGCCCAATTTATCACAGTGCTGCCCAAGGAAGTGGATTCTGTGCTCTGTGTTTGCAGCTAGATGAGGTGAAAGAACCACTGGCACTGGCTGTGCTTTGGCATCACCCTATTTGCCACACTCAGGGCAGCACTGACAGCCCTGAAGGAGAGCATGTCCTCCTTGCTCTGCCGAATTAGGGCAGCTCCGAGGGCACGCAACCCTCCCAGCAACCCTGTCCCACCTCCCACACCTGTCACACATCACTCTGAAAACAGGAGGAGGTTTTCTGGTGCTTCACCAGGCTGTGGCAAGCGGAAGTTTCCTGCTATGAGGCATCTCCCGACACCCTCTGTGGAAGTTTTCCGGCTGGTTGCAGCCCCACACGGGGCGTGGAGTGCTGCTGACTCACACGCTGCTGGGCTGGCCCCACAGGGACCCACACACAGCTCTGGGTGCTGTCCTGGGCCCCCAGTTTGTCCAGACACTGGGTGGCAGCAGCCCCAGGGGACAAGCCCTACATTGTGATGCTGCTGGGCAGGGGGATGAGAGAGCAGCCCCTCACAGGAGCTGGCACCCTGCTGCCATGGACAGGACCACGTGCTCTCCAGCCTCACAGCCCAGATGGGTGGCAGGAGCTGCTTCCTGCTCCCAGGGTGCAAGCCTTCTGGCAAGGAGACTCTGGTCAAAACAGGACTGACCACATGGCTCAAGTCACTCCAGCCCCTTGACCTGAGTTCACCCAGCCTCTGGGCCTTCCCTTTGGAAATAAAAGCTTAGACTGTCCCGACTGTGCAGGCTGGAGGACAAAGGAGTGTGCAGACCTGCTCCTCAGTGAGTGATGGAAGGCCAACAGGTCCAGGGCTCCTGTCTCCCCAGCCTGGGATACCATAGCCATCACAAAATTCATCTTTACACAGACAACAAGATGCCCAGAGGTTGCAGCGCAGCCTCGGCACAGGCAGACCCACCCCAGCCGGAGTCCGGGCAGTTCAAACTGGGTGGATGCAAATTCACACATAAGGAACCAGATTGCTGAGGAATGAGAGATGACTGAAACCTCTTGGACAGGAATGCTCTGGGCTCAGAAAGCTGCCAAACATGCTTTGGTTATGGAGAGGAGCCCAGATCCATCAGGGATGAAACCCCCTGAAATAACAGGCTTGTTGGGGGGAAAGTGAAGCTGAAGCAAGCAGAGCTTGTGTGAAGCTGACAGCCCAAGCATGGCATGGCAGCTGGGGACATGCAGGTGCCTGCAATGTAGGAGAGATGAGGGCACTTGGCCTCGTGCACACAGTGCCAGCCAGTGCCTGTGGGTTAAGGGCACAGAGGGGACAGTGACCTCCCAGACTCAGGAGGAAGGGACAGGCAGAGCCATCCTTAGGCTGCTGTCTGCCATGCCACAGGACTGCCCAGTGCAGACACAAGGGATGAAGGACATTTCTTTGCATCCTCAGGCCACCCTGGCAGGAGGGGGATGAGCCACATCCCAGCACTGTTAAGCAGGGGAAGAGCAGGAGGGGGACCGAGCACCAGATGCACTCCAGTGTTTAAGTTTCCAACTCTGCTTAATAAATCAGAGCATAAAGACCTCGGTGGCAGTGTGACAGGTCTCAGCCGCCACATTTGAAGGCTGTAACCAAGCTGAAAGCTGATCCCAGGTCCCTGGTGGATAAGCCGCTGTGTCATCTCTTCTCTGCAAGAAACTGCCTGTACAACAACCACTGTCTTGGCCGGCATGCCGCGGAACGAGCCTGGGAGCTCCGGAGCGGGAACGTGACTCCAGCCAGCCAGAGCTGGGAAGCCAGGCTCCCCTCTCTCTACTGAGAGCTTTGCATAAGCACTTTTCCTGC